CTGCAATATCCATTGGGAGATCCTTATAACTTCCACGGCAATTTACAACCAATAAAAAATATACAATTTCAGAACTAAATACACCGTTGTATTCAGGGAACTCTCTTCTATTTTTCGAGATTAGTTTGAACTTTCTAGCGTTTCTAGTTTTCACGTAATACCTCATTTTTGGGCAAAATTGGGTGTTTTTACAAAAGCTCATGATTTTCACAAACTGAAGGAGATTGAAAAATTCTGCTTCCGGATTCGTGATCTGGACGAGGAACTCTAAGAATCTCCGAATGGATATTGCAGACCAGAAAAAAAGTTTAAATTTGTTGGACTTCAAAATTATTTTATTTTTTCATCGTTTCGTTACATATATTATTGTTTCTAAGTTGTATATTGATGTATATAAAATTCTACTGTCCGATTATCCGAAAAACCATGTTGCAATAATCGAGATTCTACTGTACCGCTCAAATCTTTGGGGTCAATAACTGTAGCAGTATTCAACTTGGATTATTTCAACGGAAAATAGATAAGTATTAGGTTGTTGTATATGAAATGTTGCTTTTATTAAGCGATATACACTTAATTCTGTTTTTACACAAAAATAGTGTAGTAAATTAAAGTCTCTTGTTGCACGATGTACTTTGATCTAATACGGCACTACAAATTTAATTTCCTTTAAATTTCACTTAATTTTAGTTGAAAGAAAAAATGTGCCTAGTTATTTTTCTAGGAATATGCTCTGAATTAAAATGAATTTCCACTGTGTTATTTGCACTAGTTTCTCTAACCTAGAGCCAGTCCTCAATTTTCACATATACACAAAAACTTTTTGTAAATCGACTTTTCGGGAACGTATCTGTCATGTAAAAACAGAATTATGTGAATTTAGTTGCATTTTTATGATTAAAAATTTGATAACAGTAATCACCATTTATACGTTAAGTTGGAGTTTGCTTTGTACATTTCACGAGGCAGTATTTGTTTTACCAGTGAATCTTCTTATAAGTATTTACAATAAATTGAAACAGATGATGGATTAATTTTGAATTTTACTAACATCTTTCGGTATTTTACTAGGTTGCAGATTTTATGCATTTATTGCTTGTACGATTGTTTAAAAACTGAATACAGTTATATTTTTAATAATGTTCATCGAAGTTTTTATTTTCTGTCAAACCTTAGAGGGGATCTTAAGCGTATTTTCTTTCTTAATTTCCCTGTTTTTCACATATTTATTATCTTGAAAGTATTTTTCCTGAATGTTTCGTCGAAATAAAAAACAGATTGTCAATGTTATGAGAGTTTAAAGATGACAAGTGCGCACATTAGCCAAAAATATTTAAACCATGTTAAATGTTAATCAGTACAGACTTTATGACGCAGATTAACCAAAAAACATTGAAAGCTGTGTTAAATGTACATTATCACAGACTTCATTATACGGATTAGACAAAAACATTTATAGCTTTCTAAATGTAAATCAGTACAGATTTTATTGTTACATTTCCACAAATACAGACATTATCCACTTAGTTTTCTTATATAAATTTTTACGTGATTATACTAACTGCGTTCAGATAACAGTATACCACAAAGACGAATATTATATTACGATTTCACATATCCTCAAAATTTTTGTCAAGAAAATGATTACGTTGTAACAAAAGCAAAATAACGTTTAGTTGTTTATCTCTTATTACGTTTAAAATGTTACTACCACTAAAACATCTGCGTGGCTAATCTTATTATCGTATTCAAGAAGACTAAATCTCGGCACGTAGCATAAGTGAATAATAATATCAGCCTTGCTATATTTTATTAACCATTATGGTAAATCGATAAATAATATTAAACCTTATAGGTGGTAGAAATTTCTTTGAATTTACGATCACATCGATCTTAGTATATGTATTTACCTTCTTGATATGCTATATTTAGCTAAATACTATCACGTAATATGTAAAGTGTAATTTGTGGCGGAGATTCTTTTTTCTTTAAATTTACGATTACACGCATGTTTTATTACCAAATAAATAACAAACCTATGATACAAGAGATATTTCTATGCTGACGTTTATAGAACTTGATGATGCAATAAAATGCTGCAGGAGTAACAAAATCCTGTCTCACTAAGTGTAAATGACATGTTTGAAGATAAGGGTTTACAAATGTAAATATTATGTACTTAATCAATGTTAAAATTTTACATACTAATTATTAGTATCTATCTAATAATATCTATACTATAGATCCTCCGTGAAATACAAGAGGACACAAAAATTTCATCAGATGCAACGAGTTTTCTATTTTATTCTTCATGCAAATTAGGCACTTAAGGGTACAAAGAAATGTTCTCGTCTTTATGGATTACTTTGTAAAATGTAATTTTTCATACAAATTCAGTCTACTAATTATAGTTTGCATTAGGCTCATTCCATGCCAAATCAATAATTTTGTAGAATTAATTGTATGAATTTTAATAAAACTGAAATACGCACTGCACGTGTAATTATAAAGGGTTTACGTCATCGTTCTATTCATTTAAAACTTGCTGCAAAAATATACATAGAACGTTAAAAATTAAAATTCTTACCCCTTTTCACAGCGATAGGACTTATAAATTAATTTTCATCTGCGAAACCATTAAGCGCAAGGTATTTCCCATTTTTATATTCATCACAAGGAATGAAATTTCTGAAGAATTTTTTACTTGAATAGAAGGATGATTTTTCTTAAAATTCTTCCTAAATTTCTTTTTAAAGGTATATCCTTGAACTCTTCTCTGCAGCAATTATACCGAACCAGTCATTGTCAGTGGCACAAAATTCCCATCTGTGAAATTCGACCAGTAGAATTAGCCTGGCTGCATCAATTGGTTCTACTGCTACATGCATTACAACGGAGTGGAATGAGTTGCCTATGTTCAGGCAGTAACACTGCCATGTACAGAACGTCCCACTTAAAACCAACTTCACTCACTTGTTAAATACAAATCTACGTGTTTCAGAATAACTTTACCTATGTTACAAAATCAAATTTGGCAAATGATACTTCTTTGGAACTTAATTATCTTCATAAACAATTACAAAAGATGCACGTGTTACCTCCTTATGCATCTAGGGTAAAAGACCCAATTACTGACACTTTAGGAAATGACACTCACATTATTGCATAATTTTTGTATTAATTGACGAAAACCGTAAGTTTTTATTTGTATTTATTAATATTTAATATGTTTAATCGAAGAAAAAAATTTGTTGTATCTTTCTAAACCTCTACTTTTCTTTAGAAATTCATAAGTTTCGAAAACACAGGGTGTCCCAGTGTAGATAGTACAACCGGGGAGGGAGTGATTCTACATGAGAAAATAAGTCGAAAATTGGAATAAATTTTTTTCATTTGAGGCTTTGTTTTCGAGGTAATCGACTTTGGATAATAATACGAAACGCGTGTATTCGCCATTGTAGTAAGTAGAAACTTCTTTTTAGTAAAACGTCTCTTGTAAGTAAAACGTCTTCTCTTACATTTTTTTATCAAGGATTTAAATAGTTTAGCACATGAAAAAAAATTTAATTTTTTTCTCACAAGTAATTTTATTATAGTCCCTGGTCAAAAAATTAGGTCCACCCATAATTTTCCAAATAATTCGCGATAATCGTAATATTAAAAGGCATGAACGTAATTCAATAATCATTTGTATTAACTAATAAAGTACGAACATATATCTTACATACTGATACAGGGTGCGGCCGAATAACATGTACAAACGGGTACCAGATGATTCCTTATGAAAAAATATGAAGAAAATATGGAAAACAATTTTTTCATTTAAGGCTTAGTTGTCGAGAAAATCGACTTTGAAAAACTGTTACATACAAAGACAATTGAATAGGACTGGGCTAGCGCGTCTGTTCATTGCATTCCGTTTCTACTTACGACAATGGTACTACACGTGTTTCAGATTAATTTTCCAAGTCGATTTTCTCAAAAACTAAGACTTAAACGAAAAAATATATACATATATTTTTTATATATATTTTACATATATTATTGTATGTAATGTCTTATTATTATTTACTTTTGCCAGGCAATTCTCCCGACATGAATCTCATTAAAAATGTCTGGAGTTTACTTAAAACTCTTGTATACGCATCATCTGTCACTACAATAGCTGATTTAAAAAAAAACATTCTGAATATTTGGCAAAATCACCCGAAAATAATGGATACGATAAAACAATGCATAAGACGTATACCGGAAAGGGTGCGTCCTGTCATAAAAGCAAAGGGGGGAGACACAAATTATTCATATGTATGTAATATATATGAACGTATTTTAGTAGTTAATACAAATTATTATTAAATACCCTCTGGCCTTTTAATTCTACGATCATCGCAAAAAATTTGGAAAATTTTGGGTGGCACTAACTTTTTGGCCAGGCACTTTAAACTGTTAATGGGTTAAGTGTTTTATTTTATTTTTATTTGGACGCGTCCCGTATTCCAACACTAAACATCTGGTCACTTCACTATAATAGAAAATCGTGTAGAGCGAGCGTTCGTGTGTCAGAATGATGGGTAGGGGATACATCGGCCGCACGAGAAGGCACGATCATCTCCGACAGATGCACGCCGGGTCCCAACGATCCCCTCGGTACGACAAGTACCCGCGATGTCCGCAAGAAGGCACTGTCGATCAAAGACGCGCGTGTGTGTCACACGGTGCCTGGTGACGTGCCCGCGATCGGCATACACAACGCCGTCAGTACGCGACGTCGACGTATCGCACAATCGCGCGCGTGTTGTGCAGCCTTTTACGATTAGTTACCGATTTTTACGACCGCATCGAAAACGAATTTTTTGTCAGTTTATTTCCAATTTCATTTAAAAAAAACTGTGCCTATACGTGTGACCATTGGTGGTTCCACGTGGACCGCTACCCGTCCCCTGTTTGTCAACATAACCACCGATGGGCCCCGGTGACTTCGTTGGAATACGAGCAACCCGGTCGAGATCCTCTACGATCTGACAGGTACTTTGCCTCCATGAACACGTGATCCCTGGATCATCTCAACTGTCATATACGCGACGATTCTTCGCGACATCTAGTGCGAAACTCGTTACGCCAAACTGTGATACTATATTCCACTGTGAACACACCATATACAGACTGTTCGACAACGAGAAACAGACGTACGGTTTGACTTCCTCCCGAATGATTCATATTCCCTCCCGGAGTTCGGTTGGGAGTCGACGCTTTCATTCAGACAGCGCGACGGCCCTGAATTTTTGCGAAACGATGAGAGCATCGGGTTTTCTAGGTCGTTGGTCGAGCGGGGAGAGAGGGGGTGACACCGGTGTATTCCGTGGAGTATCGTAATGCACGCGGGACCGGGTCCGCGGCGCATCCGACTTTATCTCGACGGAGTGCACAATCGCGAAATCCCGTGGCCCGATAGTAACGTATCTATCAGATAAGAGTGAATACATTTGTGTGTACAGTAATCGAGAAGTTTATCTCGGTGACCGTGTATCATACGTAATAAGGAGCAGCAACGTGTACGAGGTTTACTACGGTTTGAAGTGCACGGCCCGATAAGTGAATGACGATAACAGGGAAATTTGTTTACAATAACACGAATGCTTGTTGGACAGGGCGCGAGATTGAAAATTTTGGGGGAAACTTCTTTGTTATATATATACATATCGATCCTTTTGCTGCAATATCGACGTAACTGAAAAATCATGATTATAGGGGAAAACGATTTTGAATGTTTTGTTCGTCTATAATTTTGTACGAATATTATAATAAAGTGATTTTTTGGAAGTTCACTTACAAAATTGTAATATGTACTAGTAATTCAAAAGCTGCAAATTTTGTATTATGTCATTGTTGTAGCAAATGAGCGATACAGTAAATCCTCGATGAGTGGTTAAAGGCTCCTAAGCACAGGCAAGGAGACGTCCCCAGGTATAACGCTGACTTTTTAACCCCTTTGTACCGGTGGACGAGATATCTCGCCACGTGATTTCGATCATGATATGCTTTCACGAGATCGTCCAATGCATATTATGAACGAAATCACGTGGCGAGATATCTCGTCCACCGGTGCGAAAGGGTTAATGATGTTCAGCACGCTGATAGAGCTTAGTATTCTGATGCCAATGATATTTGTTTCAGCCGCATATGGCCATTAATTTCTGAAATATTTGATGGTCAGTGCCGAAGAGCTTTCGAACAGACATCGAGGAATTACTGTATATGGATAGGGGATGGTTCCCGAATTTGGACCATTGCCTAGTTTGGACCACTACTCTAACTTATGTGTAAGCCATTTGCGCCGTATGATAGACAATATGTGTTGTTTATAAAACATAATAAACACAAAATAAACATTTAAAATTTATTTTAACTAGCTACAATACGAAGGTTTCAAAGGACTCGCATATAGAGATCGAGCAGTTAAGGGATAAAGTTATTTATTGTTTATTTAAGGTATTATTAATTTATATGTTAATGAAATTTGCAATAGCAACAATTGTTACACAGATCAAATCACAGATGCAAGGGAAAACGCATAGTTGCCAGTCAGAAACTAAGGGGTTAATTTTTGTTAAGGTACGAGCTTATTTATAGATTATACACATCTACAGGTGGTTTAGAATACACAAGCGATATACAATTTCTTGGTGTCAAACGTGAAAGGAGTAGTACCTACTCATCACAAATATGCAAGAACTGACCTATTAAGAACACGCTTCACTCGTCCAAATATACAATCTTATACAATAATCAAGCCCTTTGGCACCGAAAATTTGAAAAGATTCAATAAAGTCACTTCGGCCTGTAAACAGCTCATACATTAAATTAGTTAATGAAATCATCAGTATTATACACATATTGTATATCATACGGTGCAAATTGCCAACACACGACAAGTTACAGTACTGATCCGAATTCGGCAACCTTTCTAGTGACAAATCGAGACGAGTCTAATAGTAACGGTCGACGAACGTATTTCCCGCTTCTTAGCGTCCACAAAATTACCGGAAGTGCCTACAAGCATTCTGCGTGGATTCCTCTTGCCCCTCTCTCTCTTTCTCTCTCTCTCTCTGTCGGTCTTCCCCTTCCTCAATTCCTTCGTTCACTCACCATCTCTCTCTCTCTCTCTCACTCTGCAGATCGTCATGCCATCATGAATGCCACGGGCAGCAACAGCGTCGTTAACGGCAACGACAGCAACACCACGATCCCAAGCAAGACGAGCCCACACGGCAACAGCGGCGGCCGTCTGCAGAGCGTGATCGGCAAGCAGAGTAGCTGTTGCGTGCGCAAGATGAGCACGATGCCAGAGGAGGAGGACGCGTCCGACGACATGGATCCTGACTCTGTAACGACAGGACACCAGCGCTATCAGCAACAGCATCATCATCACGACGCCGACTCGGACACACCGTCCGAGGAGAGGGGTCGTTTGTTGAGCACCACCACCGAGCCAGCTCGTAGGATCACGATCACCCCGACTGGCTCGAGCCACCTGCACAGCAACGGCGGTCTGAAGAAGACAATCCCCCGTAACGACAGTGCCAGTAGCATCCACGAGAAGTCGAATCGGCTGCAACAATACAAACAGGGCGAACCGATCGGTCCATTGGAGACCAGGCTCCATCGGGACATACCGCAAGGTGTGCTGAAGCTGAACCGAGCGATCGACTCGCTGCACGGTGGACGTCATCGTTGCTCGAGCGTCAGATCAGTGAAATCGAACCCGACCATGGACGATCATCAGCTTCAGTATCATCCACCGGCGGCCAGCTGGGCGTCCATAGTGTTCTCCGATGTGAACGGGCAGACCCATGTCCGGCAGTTTCCCGATTCCGTGTCTATACGATCTCTGGCTTCGATCGGGATGGGCTCTTCAGTACATCCGCCGACGTAAGTGAGCCACATTACCTTAACGTGCGCGTCTCGACGAGAGGCGTCGGTAGGACCGGTCCTATGAATCATGGTTCCGCTACATCCTTGTTCAGGGTACATATACGTATTTACGTCTGCATGTTTCGTTCGATGTCCTTATTTGATCAGCTCACCAGGCTCTAGGGATGATGATTGCGTTTGTCGAGTGGTGGAGAGGATTTACTGGCCTCATGGGTCCAAGAGGATCGACGGTTGATGGGGATGGATAAGATAGACGTTATCTCACCCGTTGGTTGACCTATAGTCGAGATGTTGTTCGATGATAAATGGGGTAATTGACGGCGGTAGTTGAGGATGATTGATTGTTATTGTTTGCTCTTGCGTGTTACCATACGGTCCGGGTGGGAGGGCATGCATGCGCCGAAAATTGACTTCATCCAGGTCGAAGTGTTTGTTGACACTTGTAAGACTCCGTTTACGTTGCTGTATTTTACTATATACGGTGCACTGTTGGGAGCGGTGAATATAGTGTGGGAAATGTAGCTTAAGTTGTCCTCTTTCGAATTTTTTTGTTGAGGCTTCAAAGCTGCGTTTAGATTGGAGTATTTATAACATAAGGTGTATTATTGAAATCGGTAAATATTGTACGAGAAATGTACCAGCCTAACTTGTTTCATTTTATATTTTTGTTGACACCTGAATGAGTTCGTTTACATTGCAGTACTTACAATATACGATAAATTCTTGAAATCAGGAAATATTAATATGGGAAATGTACTATTCTAACTTGTTCCATTTCGAACTTTTTGTTGATACATAAAAGTTTCGTTTACATTGCAGTAGTTACAATCTATGATAAATTCTTGAAATCGGTAAATACAGCGTGGAAAATCCATCTGCTGAGGTCGAAGATTTCAACAGAATGTAATTGATAGTTACAAGTAAGATTAACATATTGCGAAAGAAATGACAGATTCTTCGGTAAAATTTTAAACTGTATTATATTTCTTGTACAAGGTATTAATAAAAATGAGGGATACTTTCAGAGGATGGATTTTACATGCCAAACTAAGACGGAAATCAAATTATGTGAAATATATGTCTGACACGATGGATTATACTACTTGAACAGTTGATTTCAGCTGATGCATAAGCTCGATCGATGACCTAGTTAAATTTATGAATGAAGTAAAACGAAATAAATGAAACCAACTTGTGAAACAATTTAACAGCATCTCTGAAGTAGAAGAACCCGTCGCGTCAGACGTTTCTTGATATTTTCAACAATTAATAACTCGGAAATGAAGCCTTGAACGCATTTTCGTCATTCTTGGCTTTCATTTTAGCTTGGCATATAGAATCCACCCTGTGGAAGTGTCCCACATTTTTATTAACACCCTGCGGAACAGTAAGATTCAACAGATTTATGACCCTATTTCCAGCAGGGTACACGTGTACTCATATCATTAATGTAAAAATAGGAATGGCAAATCTAATGAATTCTTCGAAAAAAATTTTCGCTTCGATGTGGTGAACGATTCATTCATCAAAACCAGAGTTCTTTTGTAAACTCTAAGTCGACGCAGCTTTGATTTACATGAAAAAAAACTCGAAGTTTGGGCTGGTGCAAAGCAAGTCACTTATTGAATTCTTTATTTGGCTCAATTTATTCTGAACACTTTCGAATCAACTTTTTCGTCGAAACAGAATCGCGTTGGTTAAATAATACTGTGCGCACGTTCTATCTCTCTGATAATTTTCATTCAACATCTGAATACAGAGATTCCTCGATGAATGCGACCCGAGCAACGGCGGTATTCTCACCGCGGGGAAGGGTGGTGGTCACACTCTGGAATCAATCAAAACAGAATAATTAGATACTAAGCAGAGGGTCGGCTTCGGGTAAAAAAACAAATTTATGAGGGGCTGAAAACTTTTCCGCCTTGCCATGAGTGCTCCGAAGTGGACACGAGTATGTCACACTGATCGAGACATTATTCTATCTTTCAAGTGACTCTGATATTTCTCGGGAAAACAAGCTACAATTAATAAGAAGCGAAAGGGAACTAAAGTATAGTTGGAATATTAACTTCAGTAACGCGAATGTATGCGATATATTAGAATGTTAAATTTTGTTATTGCTCGAATTATAAGTAATTTTACTCAAGCCCTCGTCTGTTTTGTCGAAATAATTTTTATAATACATTTTGACATACTTTTCATTACACAACTTCTTATTAGTGTTCTTTCATTGAGTTAAATAAGAGGGAAACTTAAAAAATTTGTTTGTATAAGCAGAAGTGTTGTTTATTATAAATTCTACATATACATCTTATTATATGTTATTTCCTTAGTAATTCCTAAAAAATTGAGGTATATATCTATCAACAGAAGAAAATAGCAGCCATTTAAAAGCGTTTTATTCAAAACGCCGTTTTCAAAATCGGTACCAGAAAAATTTAAAAGATTACAGAATCAATTTGAACGAAACTTTGTGATAATATTCTTAAAACTAAAACTGTGTACTAGACGAAGCGAATTTTTGATTCGTGGATTTTTTCTTTCTTTAGTAACAAAAAAAGGTTGACAATTTCTTTCAGAAAGCCAGTTCAAATAGCCGCCATTTTGTAAAATATTAATATTTTCAAACTCCGCTTCGATAAGTACTAATTTCTTTCGTCTACTGTAACGTAATATTAGAAAACCTTGTTTCAGGTGAAAGCCTACAGAGATATATCTGGTAACGCAATTTTTGTTATGAAACGAGTTACAATTAAATGGTATCCATTTTCTTCTTTTGATAGATATATAGTTCAATTTCCCAGAAATTACTAAGGAAACCACATATAATAAGATGTATATGTTGAATTTTTAAGAAACAATAATTCTGCATATACAAACAAGATTTTGTAATTTTTCCTCTTATTTAACAGCTCAAAGGTATGTAATCCCTTATAGTCTAAACGACCCTAAAACGTTTTCATCGATCCTATTCATTCAGGAATAATCTTTACAGTTCAAACAGATCCCAATGTTGAATCAGGATGACGTTGTATAATTTCATACACCGATTCATAATTACAAACGCTTTATCCGATAAATACTCGTGGCATGGATCGCCGCGTAACTCTTCTTATTACACCATAAAATTCAAGCTGTGGAAAATAGCTTCTCGCCTCTACCCAACGCGGCAATTTGCTGCTGTAAACTGTTTACAGAAACATTAATTCCTATGGTCGTAATCGAACTCGATCGTCGCGCGAAGACACACCCGCGTTCGCCACATGCTCCGCGCGAGTCTCGTCTAACGAGGTGACCAAATAACAAAAAAGCGTGAAACGAGCAGTTTCGTCATCCGACACTATAAAAATTCGACTACCGACAATTTACGTTCAGTTCGTTCGCGAATTGTGACACGGAATAGTCCCCGACAACGAGACCTCGTTTATTTTCGCATTGAAATTAGTATTTTTAATACATATATGCAATTAACTCTAACATGTATCTGGACCCCAGAGCCAGAGTGTATTAACTCATACTTTTCAAACTTTCGAGGAGAGTAAATCGAAGGTGCAAAAACCTTGTAACTTTGGAACCAATCGGTAAAAATTCAACAAGAAACAATCCCTACTTTTAGCAAGCAATACTAACAAAAATTCCTATATAATATAAACTATAACTGCTAACTATTGAATGGACTTAAGACAAGCCTCGATACGTAGAAACGATGAATAAATTGCGTTAAGTCCCGTATGTGATGGACTTTACATTGTTTCGCGTTTATACTGTTCAGGAACCAGATATAGACTTAATATCATTTTTGCATTATTATATTACAAACTAAACGACTTCAAAAGAAATAATTTTTATCATCGGAAAATGTGAAAAATTTGATACGGGAACGTGTAGAATATCATTTTTTTTTTTAAGTGTACTTAATACACTGGCTCTCGGGTTCCAGATACATATATTTTCGAAATTACAATTTCATCGTGAAAATTCTGTATTTTCGGCACGACACACGAGATTAAGTACTAGCAAACGCGTGGAATAAACTATTATACTCGTACAAACTAACTTTTAGTGTACATTTACCAAAATTACTGCTTCTTTACAAAAAGTTCAGCATTTTAAGACTTAACAAAAATGAAATATTAACGAATGCGTGAAATAAATTTTATATACAAACAGCTAACTTTGCTATAGATTTTCGGAAAATTACATTTCTTCGCGAAAATTAAGTAAGTTCAGAGATCAATATTTTCGAAACGCGTGGCATAAGAGTTTCAATCTCTTGGATAAAGTCGACACACGGTTTCGGTGACGATTCTGTCGCGATTTCTGTCGTTCGGAACGCAACGACGCATAGTGATGTCAGAACGCGTTTTTACTGGCCAAAAGTCAATATTTAAAGCTCAACATTTTGACAATTTTGTCTGCTATAAAGTAGCAAGACTTCAGACATTCAAAACGCGAAGTATTATTCGTTTCAGATAATTGTGTAATCAGGGTAACGTTCTGAGGGTAAAATGTTGAAACTCGAAGTGAAACTAATTACTTTAATTATTAATTATACGACAATAAATAGAAGGTTTGAATTATAGTTTTATGCATATCAGTAACTACCTATATTACGATTATTTAATTGTATTTTAAGCGTTTTTTAATCCATTTACAAGCAGTATAAAATTTATAGCTTAGACTTTGAGAAAGATTTTAAAAAAATGATTAAGTGTGATAAGCATTAGACTTGTTTTATATGAAAGTTCAAACAATTACTAAGAGTTTTACTAACAATTTTAAGAAATAGAAGCCCGCGGTATTTTGGCGTCTGAATAGTATCCAGGGACGCAGACCGCTTGACTCTTGAATAGCAGCTTAGACTTACATGTTTAACATTTTTTTTGTGAATATTTGCATAACTTGGAATTAACGTCAATAATATAATTATATATAATTAAATAATTATAATTATAAAATAAATAATATAAATTATATAATTATATTATAATACTTAT